TGTTATGTGCCATCGAGTTGCTTATGACTTAGGTGCAGCAGCCCTAAATCCTGCTCTATCCTGAGCCAACCTAGTCACTGAGTCAATCCATCTCATTGAGGGTCTTCCTCTCCTATGCCATCCCTCAACCCTCCCAAGGACCTTCTCCAAGGACCTAGTCTCTCCTTGCAACATGCCCCAAGTATGTCAGGCGGAGATTCAGAATCCTTGCCTCCAAGTAGTAGCCTGGTTTCACATGATACAGAATTTTACATCTCAACTACACCTAAGGACTTTTAATTACAAAACTCCCGCACTCCTCAAGTAAGATACACTTTAGAAACAACGCTGGACCCCAGGGGTGACCAGTGATGGCATGTCCTGAGCACCTGAACTTCCCCTGCGCCAGGTGCTGTTCAGAGCCATCTGCCCTGGTCCTGCTGGGAAGCTCTTAGCAGGGGGAAAACATGTTTCCTTCCTAGTCTGTCATGTTTCCTTTCTAGTCTGTCATGTAATTCTCTCACAAGTTCTTGGGAGCAGAATCTGCCCATTTCTCAAGGGAAAGGAGCAAAGGTGAGGACAACAGGAGGAGTGTGGAGCCCAGCCACAAGGGCTGGACGTAAACCCCTGTGCCCACTGCGACTAGCTTTGCAACCTCTTTCCCTGAATGACGTATCCTGAAGACCTTGGCCACTCGGTGCAGTGCGCATGCCCGTTCCTTCTCAGCACTACGTCCACTTCCACTGCACAGACGCTCTCTGACTGAGTGACCTACTGATGGCTACTGGGGTGGTGTCCACGTGGAATGAATCCCGAGGCACAGCCCAGGGTACACGCATTTTCAATGTTCACAAAGAACAAAATCTCTCCCAAGAGCAAAACTTCAGAGAAGTAAATCAGGCTCTTTTTTACTGTAAGAGATGTAAACTTAAAGCCCAGCTCAGATGACATCACATCCCTGTGCCTCAGTTTCCTCCTCTGTGAAAGACACCCCCATTCACAGGGCTGCTTAAACGACGACATGATCAGCGAAGACGACGCGGAGCAGAACAGACTCCTGCACGGGACACTGTTGAGGTTATTCCTTTCCTAACTCCCAGCCCAGCTACTTCCTGGGACACCCCAAGACAGCAGGCCCTGGCCCTTCACCCCAGCTTGCTTAAGTGTGACGTCTGGAATGGGCTGCCGTCAGCAAAGGGCTGGCAAGTGGTTGCCTCATGTTCTCATGAGGTGAAGGTCCCGCTGTCCCGATCAGGCCAGCCCTATAGGTTGGAGACATTTCTCACTCAAGGACGCTGATGTACGAACAGAAACTTGCAAGAGGCTGTCAAGGAAAACCAGAAGCCAAGGCATCAATGAACCAAGAAAAATGTCAGTGCAGGAGGACCAGGCCTGGTCCAGTCTCCCTCCCTGGCGGACGCCCTCATCCCAAGAGTAAACTGTGTATATGGCAGATTGCATGCTGGCCTCTATGCTAAGAGCTGTGGCTCCACTCCCTCCCCCGGCCCACGTCACCACCATCTCACAAGTGCCACCACAGTGGCCCACCAAGCTCCCTGCCCCAACCCCTGCCTCTAAAGTCTAGTTTGGACAAAACCCATCAGATCGCAACACTCCCTGAGAGTCAAGGTCAACATCTTCCCAGTGTTCACACACATGTCATGGTCCCCACCACCCAACGTGCTCCAGTCACCCAGGCTCTTCCCAGCTCTTTGAACACACCAGGTGAATCCCACCCCAGACTGCCCCAGGGCCTAATCTCCCCACCCTAACCCCGGAGAACCCTGTGGCTCAATGCTCAATCCCTCCCAGCATCTGCATATGTACCGGCTTCTCAGTGAGGCCATTCCTGACCACCTGACTTAAACCTGCAACCCTCTCCCCTCCCTGCCCAGTTCCTCACTTCTCTCTCTGCTGGGCTCTGTGTGTGTGGTGCAAATACTTCAAGTCTCAACCACTATCAGAAAGGCTGGTGGTTCGAAGCCAACTAGAGGTGCCTCAGGACAAAGATCTGCTTCCGAAAGGTGAGCCACTAAAAAGCCCTGGAGCAGGGCTCTCTCTGCTCTGACACACAGGGCCTTCACGTACCTGAATCAAGTCCTGAGTACAACCTACTTCCTTGTTCGGCAAGTGCTCCTTTACTACAGTGTAACAACACAAAGGTGTGGGAAGCCCAATTTCATACTAAATATTTATAATAAACCAAATGCTCTATCAGGATATGAGGGAGGCATGGATAAAAGCTGGAATTCACCCTAAAGCACTAAGGCAAACCTTGTATGTTTACAGAGGTAGGCACTAAGGCAAACTTTAGGTGTTTACATGATTCTTGTATTTGTTAACCTCTCCCTCCTGAGTCAAGCATAAAGTCTTCAATGGAAAGAGTTTAGCTTCATTCGCATAGAATTCTCTCTGTGACTTGCTCCCTGGCAATTTTCAATAAAGGCACAGGGAAGCAGAGATCATCACTGTTCCCCTCCTGCTTTACCTCTCTATGTCCTTCTACATTCTTGGTGTTCTGTCTCATTATTAATACTTATTAACGTACTTTACTCTCAGTCTACAACACAGAGGCAGGGTCTCTGTTTTTCTTTGATGATACAGGTACTACACACTATGCCTCCAAGTCACCTGCACCAGGCAGGCCCCATCTTGACACAGGTCAGCTCTTGTTTTTCCCCCCTTGTAGCTTCTCTTCTACCTATTTCTGACACTGGCATTGCCCTTGTGGGTGGAGGGATGCTAACAAAATCTGTAGTTGGCAGATTTCAGTCCTCTGATGCCATGACTGACTCAAAGACCGACCAGTGGCCTAGTTAAACCGTGAGCTGGAATGTCAAGGACTTCTGTTAAAATTACTAGAAAAAAATAAGTTGTTTTCTTGCCCTGGGCCATGAGATAGTAAAAGCTGAGGGCCTCTTGTGGGGCTTGATAATGCACCAAAGAAAAAGCATTACAAAAAGAAGAGGTCCTGATGACACTGAACTACTGGATCAAGCTGTACCTGAAGCCAGAAACCAAATAACCTTGCATTTTACAACATAAGTAAATAAATGCTCCTTTCTGTGAGGCTAATATGAATTTCATGTTCTATCATGTGTAGGCAGAAAAGTTTGAGCTAATACAGCCAAGCCCCAATCTTCTGGATAGGGCTGGATAGGGACGCACAGAACTAAATGGGTCTCTGTGATAAATCCTTTTTTTCCCTCCGAAACATTAGATTTTCCAATGAGTGACAGACAAGACCTGCTGGGATAAAAGCCCCTCCTCAATAACACGGCTAAGGCTCTGTTCTATCTTCTGTGGACTTGTGGGAACACACTGCTGACCACTGATGGCCTAAAAGGTTGCATGTGGTGCAAGCAAACTGCTCAAAATGTGGCCTTGTGGCTGCAACGACCAACTGAGTCACCAGGGGCCAGCAGGCTGGGCTCCTCAACTGAGACTCCTCTGTGGGTTCAGAAAGGTCCTCCTGCCCAGTGTGGAGAGAACAGCAGTAGGAGACCTGAGGAAAAAGGCTGGCCTCATAGCAGCCATCCAGGCTGGCAGGGGCTCTGGCTGGGTCTAAGGTCATAGCAGATTTGGGGATGTGGGGGGCAATACTGAATATACTGGGGAGAGATTCAGGAATTTGACTCAACAGGACTTAACATGAGGCATTAGAAAGCAGGCTCTAGATTTCCAACGTAACTGCTGGAACCATTCTCTGAAACAAAAACCCTGTGCGGGTGAGGGTTTCAGGGAAAGGGGATGGACTTCAACGTCAATTTCTGTTCTGAACAAATAGAATTTCGGATGTCTGTGCTATGACAATAGACATGGGGCTGCTGGCCTAGACCAGGCGGTGGTCCAGCCTAATCCACTTCCCCCACTCTCTTTACTAAGCCCATAAGAAGCCTAGAAAAAAAAAATACGGTTCCTGATTCTTTCAAACACAGAATCTTCATTAATGGGCATGGGGGAACGTCTTGGATTCTCTCCCGACTTGCCAAGTTATTTAAACCACTGCAGAGTCTAATTTAAAGCAACTCTCCCTGTCAACTGCTGATAAAGTAAGCTTACCTCCCAGATCTCAAATGAGGGTGACCGGCACTTACCAAACGTGTCAAGTATGTCGGTGATGAGGACAAATTTGCTCGGGTAGAATTGAATAACACTCGTGTCCGAAAGCAGTTTTGAACACTGAGAAGACAGAAAAGGAACAAAGGTTGGTTGTTCAGGTCTGAGTTAGTGGGGAAAATGATGTTTCTCTAAGTGCGTCAAGGTGAAGGAGGGGTGCCGGGAACAGGGGTGTCAGGAGAAGCAGAATCACTGAGCTCCTGAGAAAAGGGGTCAGAGGTAAGCCTAGTTCAGTGCTGATTAATATTTTTTTTGTGTGTGTGTGTGTGTGTACCATCAAATCTGATCTGACTGGTACAGGAGGAGACTGCCCCTCCTTCTCCAGCAGAGCATCTGGTGAATTCAAACCATGTACCTCTGGGATTGCAGTGTAGCTTCTTGCACTAGGCCACCAGAGCTGCCTGATTAATTTTATAAAATATGAAGAATGGGAATGCTTGTATGGAACACAATGTGAATTAAGGATAGTGTGAAACACAATGTATACAGATTTTGTAAGCAAATAACATAAAATAAAAACTTATATGCCTAGAGAGCTGGACAATGACTAGAGATGATAGAGAGAATTGATGCCTTTGAGATGTGGTGCTGGAGAAGAGTGCTGAATGGACTGTCAGGAGAACAAACATGTTCACTCTAAAGAGGGTGAAACCAGGCTGCTCCTTGGAGGCAAGGATTCTGAAACTTTGTCTGGCAAATGTCTGGGCATGATGCAAGGAAGGACCAGACCTTGGAGAGGGACATCATGTTTGGAAGAGTGGAGGGAAGGAGAAAGAGAGGGAGACCATCGATGAGATGGATTGATACAGTGACTGGGGTAATGGGGGTAGGAGTGTCAGAGACAGTAAAGTTGTCACAGGATAGAGCAGGTTTCAGGGCTGTTGTACACAGAGTCACTATGAGTTGCAAGCAACTCGAAGGCACATTACAATAACAATAATTTTTTTTATTTAAAAAAAAAAAAAGAAGAAGAAGAAGAAGAAAAGGAGCTGGATGCTGTTCCCACGAGTCTTTCAGGAGGTACACCACCCCCTCAGTCCCAGAAGCCACCAAAGACACCCAACCGCCGTCTTCAAGCTGATTCAGCGTGCTGTAATCTCTTATGTGTTAAAGTGGAGCTAACTGTGCTCCACAAGCCCTTCGGACTATGCCTCTTCAGCAGCAGATTGCCAGGCCTTTCTTCTGAGTTTTGGGTAGGAGTGGAGCATGTGAACTGTTCGTACCATGCAGGGGCCTGTAGGGGCCGCTCCCGTCCTGCCTTCAAGCTCATTCTGCCTCATAGCCATCCTATGTCACATTTCCAAGGCGGTAAATCTTAACTGGAAGAAAGTGCCTATCTTTCTCCTTCATGGCAGCTGGTGGATTTGAACCACTGACCTTTTAATTAGCAGCATGACACACTACCTATGGCACCCGAGCTCTTTGCAGAGGACACAAACTGAGGAAATCCTTTCCAGAAAGGTCTCTTTGTTCATACGGTGAGCCAAGGGTTAGTGTTCAAAGTCACCAAGAGACACAAAGGATGTCTCCTCATCACTCTTCTCCCAGGTGGCGCACAGCGGGTTCCCAGGAGGGCATCCTCTACTTTATTCCAGGAAGCATCTTTTTTCTAGGAAATGAGCCTGTAAGTAAACTCCCGGAATTTCTTAAACTGGCATCTATCATTTGTACTTACTCCCAAACTTCTCTCCATAAAAAGAAACCTGCTCTTTATCGTCACCAAACAGTTGTCTGCATTTTCCACGCTCTTAGTAGAACGCTGCAGCCACACCGCGTGGTCCCACACACTCCAAATGAAAGCCTCATTTGTAACAAGAAAGGAAAATGTCATTTTTATTTGGAAAAGCCAAATATCATGTCCTGAAGTCTTCCGAAGTTCAAAAGTCAGTAAAGGGAATTAAATAACTACTGTATTTCATCATTCCAACAGGCGATCAGCTATAAAAAGGCCACACAAAAATTAAAAAGGAAACTTTGGGTCTTTCTGAAAGGTCCTTTTAGGAAGCAATGATGGCCTAGTGGTAAAGAACTGCGCTGTCAACCCAAAGGCGTGAAGTTCAAGCCCACTAGCCGCTCCACAAAAGGAGGGGCAATCTCATCTCCTCCTGTGTGAATTACTGCCTCTGAAAGTCCACTCGAAATGACCCATGGTTGACCCTCCAGTGGGTTTTCAGAGGCAGTTAATCGCATGGGAGGAGACTGTCCATCCATCTCCCACAGAGCAGCTGACGGATTCAAACCACATGTCTTCGGGATTGCAGCGCAGCTTCTTGCCACTAGGCCAGCAGAGCTCCCTGAGAGAGCCTCTGTATTGAGAGGTAGACAGTGGTGAGTTTTCTGTTTGCTGTTACTCTCTCATCAAATTTCTTATCAACAGTTCCTGTCTAAAAGTAAACAATGAGGTTGATTTATGAAACATTCTTTTACAGCCCCAATGTTACTGGGGTAAAGAAATGTTAGCTAGGAAACAATGCTGCCAACCCTGAATGTGGCCTGTGGGTGGAATGGACTGTTATTACCTGATACTTTGCCTTGTGGGTTTTTCCCCCTATTTACACTTTTTAAATAATAATAGTAATTATTAATTTTTAATGAAAGTTTACAGAGACTTAGGGTTTCCATTCATTCATTGTTGCACTTTTCTCCCTGCCCAAACCTCCCTCCCAGTTCACTCTTCTCTTTGAAAAGTAAAAGATTCTTTCATTGTTATACAATCCCTCCCCCCAAGTCCACTGCACTATGCAGCCTTCATTCTGGACTTCTGTCAAGACAATAATACCTAATCACATATCCCTTTTACACAGTTCTCTCCCTCATATGTTTCAATGCAGTGTACATTATTTATCCCCTCTTTTCTAAAGTTCTCCCCAAGCCCAATGTCAGTCCAGTTTTACAACAGTGGCACTATGCAGTATTTGTCCTTTTGTGACTGAGATATTTCACTCAGCATAATGTCTTGCACAATGTCTTCCAGAGCTACCCATTTTGTATATATTTCATGAGTTCCTTGTTTTTCAATGCAGCATAGTATTCCATTGTGTGAATATACCACACAGATTCTATATCCATTTGTTTGCTGATGGGTACTTGGGTTTGTTTCTAACTCTTTGCTACTATGAACAAAGTAGCAATAAACATGGGAGTACATATATCTGCTTGGGTAGCCGTTATGGTTTATTTAGGGTGTATTCCCAGTAGTGGAATTACTGCACATGGTATTTCTATTTCCTACTCTTTGAGAAAGCACCATACTGTCTTCCATAGTGGTTGCACCATTTTATATTCCCACCAATAGTAAATAAGGGTTTCAGTTCCTCTGCAACCTCGCCAGCATTTATTGTTTGCTGCTCTGTTGAATTTTGCTAATCTTACTGAGGTGAGATGATATCTCATAGTTGTTTTGATTTGCATCTCTCTTAGAACTAGGGATTTTGAGCATTTCTTCATGTGTCTTTTTGCCATCTGAATGTCTTCTGTGGTGAAGTGTCTGTTCATATCCTGTGCCCATTTTTCAACTGGGTTGTTTACCTTTATCTTGTTGTGGTGTGCCTCATGGTTTTTATGACATTTAGGAAGGATCCAACTGAAGCAACTTCCTCAAGATTCAGGGCTAGAGAAGTCCAGCCCTAGATGCTGCCTGCACTCCACTGCTCTGGACTCCTGGGATGGGACCTCTCTCGCCCCTACCATCACCTCGCTGACATGAGTTATTGCCCACTGTTGAGTTTAGAGGGGAAATGTGAACTGAAGACAGCAAATGACACACAGCTGGGGCTTCCCCAACATCTGTGCCTGGGCTGTCTCCCAAGTTGATTTCACAGAACGTATGCTGTGAAGGCAAACAGAAATGGGAATTTTTCTTAATCCCAAATTAAAATCATAATAACCTTAAAAATTCAAATTCTCTTCTTGAAACTACTATTCTGAAGAGTCCACTGTCAGTTTCCTAAACTTGTCTTGGAAACAATCTGCTTGGGGTGGTTGGTTTTCCAAATACAAACGCAGCTCCATTCCGGGCCAAACCCACTGCCTTGGAGTCTACTTGACTCGCGTGGATTTGTTTTCATTTTCCTCAGCTTGAATTTGAACTTGCCCATGAGTAATGGATTGTCTGTTCAACAGCTGGTCTCTGGTCTTGTTCTGACTGATGAAAGTGAGCTTTGCTACTCTCTCTTCAGAGAAACACAGCTGATTGGATTCTTGTGCATTCTGTCTGGTGAGGTCCACATTCATAGTTGTCGTCCTTTATGCAGCCTTTTAAAATTTTTTTTTTTAAAAAAAAAAAGAAAAGGTATTTGCAATGCACTGGTTGTACAAAACTCTAACATGCAACATCTAGTGTTGTTGTTGTTGTTGATTGCCATAGAGTTGAGCATGACTCAAAGTGACCCTATAAACAAAAGACCTGAAGCTTTTCTATAATTATGGTCATTTCTCCAATCTCTAGTCTCATGTTTATCACAAAGGTAAAATGTGCTAACCTACCAATCCTTCTTTTGTTTCCAAATTTTGCATTGCACCTTGAATGCATGTTTGATTAATTACAGATTCCAGAAGCCAGTAGACATTCACAATTTCTTCATCATTGGCTTTAGTGCCTGGTGTACAACTCTGAGTAACAGTCACTATTAACAAGAGTTCCTTGTAAATGTATAAATATTATCCTATCACTGATGGCATGGATTGCTAAGAGAACAAACAGGCTCGTCCTGGAGAGGGTGAAGCCGGGCTGCTCCTTGGAGGCAAGGATTCTGAAGCTCTGTCCGACATCCTCTGAACATGTTGCAAGGAGGGACCAGTCCTTGGAGATGGACATTATGCTTGAAGGGTGGAGGAACAGCACAGGGGAGGAAGACGCTCTATAAGAAGCATTGACTCAGTGACTGGGGAAATGGGGGGTGGGTATCAGAAACAATAAGGTTGGCTCAGGATAGAGCAGGGTTCAGAGCTATTGTGCATAGGGTCACTATGAGTCACAGGTGACTTGACAGCACATAACAATAATAACAACTGCACTGATGGCATTGAATGGTAATATGGTCATTCCATTTCATGATGAATGT